GAAGTTAATGTTGAACGTGTACTCTATCATCTGATAGAGAATGGGAAATATGAATTTCAAGTGCCTATGATAATCATCCGGTACTGACACTGTATTCTGTAAACTACAAACTTCCATTTGGAGCTATTTTCTCAGATGCATCATTATGTGCATGAAGGAGAAAAGGCAAGCAGCCACATTGCCATCATTCAAAGAGGATCCTACTCTGTGAAGTATACTAACTAGGCTATTGAGAGAAATACTTACTGAATATTCTGAACTAATCGCTGGCAAATAATTTTAGAACTTGAAAATGAGGACACATTTACACATATATTACCATAATATGTGGTTTTTCATTGGAATAGCCAAACAACTCAGGATGTGACACTGATGTGGCTGTAAAAATCCACATCAGCAGGAGGCATTTTTACACACTTGTTTTTGAATACCAACTAGCTTGCAGAAGAATGGCAATTTAGTTTTTAATGTACTCAAGTAAATTTGAAAGTTAAATCCACATTTATTTCTGACTATTTTTATTTTACACTCATCAGAAGCGTGTTTTATAAAAGCTATTCTGATTCTTCCTAAGGAAAAGAACATTTTTAAAAAAATATGAGGATCACTTTATTAGTTTGTAGAAAGTTATTCTGTTGCTGGATTAAACTCTGTTAAAAAAATTAACAAAGAAACTAAGATATATTTAGCGTATTGTTGACATTGTGGTTTTGTCATAACTTTATAATTTTGTTTCACAATACATTCAGTCCTCTGCCAATTAATAATGAGAAGTTAACTTTACAAGTATTTGAAATTATGATTTAGTCTAGGGTTGTTAAGAGTTAGTATACTTAAAAGTATATAGTTATCTGTGCTTGCCTTTTGGGCTCTTGGGAAATAAAAGCTTTTCCTATCAAAGTCTCATATAATTGATTATGTTTATTTTATTTTTATTTCTGCTACATATATACTGTAAATATTTAAAGGAAATACAATAATAAAGAACTAAATAATGAACTGCCACCCCCAATTCCCCAAAGCTTTACTACAACATAAGGATAAAAGCACTGTGGAGAAACCTTTGTGGGAGCTATAGGTCCAGAATTCAGCAAAGGATAGTTATGTACAGAATTTTCCTTCACCAGTGAAGATTCTTTCTCTGCTCTGTAAACTGCATTGGTACCCATATGCTTCCTGGGTTAAATCAAGGTTCTGTTAATGATTTGTAAGGCCTTTCCTTAGCATAGATTATTTGAGGGACCACTCCTTCCCTCCTCAATTATGTCTATCCTCCCCATTACATGCAACAGAACAGGCATACTGTGAATCGCACCAGTCAGGAAATCAGGCAGAGTCATTTGCCATCTGTCATCTCCACAGTTCCTGCCCATCTAGCTTCCAACACAGAACAAATACAATTATTTTTATTCACAAAATGACTGGCCAAATGATTGTCGTTTCCCCCCCCCCTCAGGAGTTAAATATTTTCAGTTGCTTCACTTTTTGATCATAATACTTAGTTTCTACTTTTATAAGCCTCATGGTCCTGAACTTAATCCAGGTTGTTTGAAACCTTCTTAACCTGACAGAATCAGATATAATATCTGAATTGAGGTCTGAGCAACACAAAAATAAAGTCATATGATTAACTCCAACAAGTTAACTGTGTTTTTTTTCTTTAGCTCTGAAATGAGAAAGGCAGTTCCAGGTAAATATTACAACTGTTTGATAATGGAATCAATTACCAAGAGACGTGCTGGGCTACTTTTACTTATTAGTTGAAGCAAAGTCTGGGTAGCTATTGTTGTCTGGATTTGGATACAGGCTAAGGGCTTTGAGGCAATATACACCATGTTGCTATAACTTTAGTGACAGGTAACCCATACCCATGCAACTTTTCATGGATGTATCAGAATCTTTGACACTGTCCCAATGGATAGGAAAACATTGTCCTGAAAAATCACTCAATTGGCTGATGGCCAGTTTATGAATTGTTACTTAATTATATCATTGATGCCAGAAATATTATCAGTATTTCTGTGAAAAATGGAACATATTTGCATACATGCTTCTCTATCCTATAGATCTATGTGAGACTTTAAAATTAAATTTTAATTTCATGTGGGACTTCAAAATAAAATGGTAGATTAATAATTCAGAAAATACATATACATGTTTTCATTCATTGCAAAAAATATATTTAGAAGCATTTGCATAGCTTTGTGCAGCATATTTAGTTACATTTGGTTTGTTTGAGATTGGCTTAGCATGTGAGTATCTAGAATATCTTAAAGTGTCTTCTTTAAACCATGGTTTTAAATAAAATAGGTCTTAGTATGAGAAAAATAAATTACTGCATCCCAAGAGGTTGTAAAATAAGCTGGAGAAGAAGGCTTTGATGTGAATATGCTTATATTGCTGCAATGATTACTACTTATTACTATTAAAAGTGGTACTATCCAATATCTTGCACTGGATCATCGCCAAAATAGTTGGACAATCATCAAGACATTTGATAGTTTAGCATTTTTTTTTATCTTAAGAATATGTAGCATGTGGCCACTGTATATATGTGTTTTGTGTGACAGAGTATTTTTGTAGCTGAGTTTTCCTTGTAATATTCTGTGTTGCATGTACTTTCCTTTTTACATATTTTCATTGTATTTACTCTCCTAGAGATGTGATTATATTTTTCTGTTTTTTATATGAGGAACATTTTGCACTCTGTCACTGTAGACAATCTCAAGGGATCACAATTTTTGCTCAGTTCTAGTAACTCTTATTGTTTCTGGTGAGGTATATTATTTGGCAGGAAAGACATTAGAAAATCCATTGCTCTGCTATAAACATAACAAGCCTCTGCCACCTAAATTGCAGTTAATGCTAAAAATAGAAGATTGTCTATGATAAGGCTATGACTTAAAGGGAATAAACTATTGTCCAAAGAACAAAAAGTTATATAGAAAGTTGGCAAAGTCATCTTTCACTGAGCTGTCATTTTACTGATTGCTGTTTCTGTGTGACTTGGATGAAATATTCATGCCTTTTGCTCTCTTCACTCTAAGTACTATTGATTTCTTGTATAAATGCTGCTATATTTAGGCTGGAGAAATAGAATGTAGCTTGCTGCAGTAGAAATTGAATAGCAGAATTGGAATTATGCTACCTGCTTTTCTTTTGATCTGGAACAATTATTTATAATTGAGGGTAGTTCTTGTAACTTAAAGATTTGCAATTCTGTGATAAATTGTAAAACAAAAGCCAAAGATTGTATATTATGATTGAAGCAAATATAGTTTCCTGGGAAAATAAACTGCATTGAGCTTTACAATTGCACTTTCAGAAAAGAAATAATACTAATGGTAATAAAAGCCACCATATTTTATATCTGTTGTTAGGAAATAGTGAGATGTTTACCATCTTCCATGATTCATATCTATTTATATTTCCAATATATCATCATTAATATATCATGCATGAAAGATATGCAAATAATAATAATAAGCTCACATTGTTGCTGCACATATGTTTTTTTTAAAAAAAATCAGAAGATATAGCTATGCAATTCCATTTTGTGATCCATTCTTATTTCTTTAAACTAAGGGAAAGCTGAAAAATGAACAAATACGGGAATGTTGTCTTAAAACCCAAACTGCATGTTGGTCCAAATACATGTTTTCTGATACACATATCAGGAAATGAGGCAAATCTGTAGTACATTTTTGTCTGAATACCTCTTTGATATATTTGTATATAGTGCCCTCTTCTGGATAAAATGTAAACTAATCTGTTTTGCACCATGGGTAGTCTCATGAGACTGTTCCTCTCCATCCATTAAAATCTTTACATAGAACTTTAATTCATATATTTGAATAAAAGTATTATATACAAATATGTTCATAGATATCAAACCAATATCATAAAAAGCTAGAAATGTCACTAAAGTTACAATGTAACAATAGCTGCATATTTTATATAATATTATTGTTATATTTTGCTATAAAGTGCAAAGTGTAATCAATATATGGCCATCCTACTAAGCAGTAATTGGTAATCCCAAAGATACAATTATAGGAGGATACTGCTAATACCTATATCCAGAGATCATGGCCATCTCTAATAAGAAGAACAGTTACATTCCTATGAATGTCATTGGAGATTTGTTGAGCATGCTTTGTGAATGCCCACAGCTTAAGAGACTTTACAAGCACAGTACTGTATTTATAAAGCATGTTCTGTACCATATATAAATAGCTTTGCCTCTTGTAGTTTGATAATTACCCATAGTATTTAAAAAATTAGTACACAAAACAGTACACAAAAACATAAGAATTATTCCTAAATTGTCCAATACTCTTTTTTTTCTTATATTTATTATTTAATCAATTATCAGTGGATATTTAACTTAATCTTTCATAAAGGATATTGCAAACAAAAATATAATGCACAAGGAGAATATCATATAAAATAAATGAAACCACTTCCATGGAGTGAAGGTGAATACTTTCATATTTAATACTGTATTTTCTTTAATAAGCTACCCTAAATTTAAAAGGAAAAACCTATAATTTTTTTAATCAGAAGATTCAGACTATAGAACAAAATGTGGCTCACATATAAGTTATTCTCTCCCCCTTAATATATTTGACATTGAAATCTGGTTTGCCTGACATTATGAAAAGTATTTAATTTATGATAGCAAGCATCAAATGACATGAGTTATAAGAACCACTTAAAATCATCAGCAGTTAATTTTTTTCTATCCATAGCACATTAATTTTAAATTAGTTTAACAAAAGCAGAAAAGCTTTTGGGTTTTACTAAAATCTGTGATAATAATAGTATCAAAATTTACTTTGGAAAGTTAAAAGGCTCTATTGATGGTATTCTCCAGTCTTACAGTCTTATCAAGAGGCCACAGAAGACAACACTATTTAGTAGAGAGGAAGCAAAATCTTCATTTCATATATGCATAAAATTTAAATCTACTGCCCAACTTTTTTTATCTCTTGTATTAGTGGATGTGAAATCAGAAAATCCTCTTGGATTAGAACAAGTCAGACCATTAGATTTGCGAACCGATATCAGGATGATGGCACCCATGATGGATCCCTTGATGCAGGAAAAGCAATTACAACAGGAATTAATCCTGATTCAACATCAGCAGCAGATTCAGAAACAGCTTTTGATAGCAGAATTTCAGAAACAGCATGAGAACCTGACACGACAGCACCAAGCACAGATTCAAGAGCACATAAAGGTAGCAGATTTTCTTCCCCTTCAAAGTGAATCTGGAGGAGGAAGGGTTGGTTACTGTAGACATTGAATAGCAGTGACTGAGTTATTTCTCTTGTATATCAACATGGTACAGTATGTGATGAAAGTTTATATTAGTCCTTCGCTCTGCCATGTCTATCTGACTCTCACTTGATGCAGATATACATGTAAGAGTAGCTATTTGCAATTACAGAGAAACAAGCTATTGGAAGACTAAGTAAAGTCAGCAAATTTGAGAGCATATTTGCCTCTCATAACGTATCAGTTAATTTTAGATATGAAAAATCTCCTTTGCTTAGAATGTAATGAACAAATTCAATTGGCAATATAGCAAATGAGAAAAAAACAGCAAATGTTAAAGGTCCAGTTGTTTGAAAACTAACCTACTAGGAAAGCACTATACAATAAATATTTTTAAGAGTAATTCAATTTTTAAGAGATTCAATCAGAACCTTAATAAAAAAGAAAATTTTGGCTGTCAACTGTCTGAATTTAGTTTTAGTTAAGATTGATATCCTTTATATAAAAATAGCATTCTAAAATTTGTTAAACAATTGAGCATAAACAAGAATATCTATCCATATTTTTTCTTGAAATAAATGGAACGAATTAGGTATCATTAGGAAATTATGATTTCTAAATGACCACTAGATGGTACCAAACAAATTCAAGAACAGAGTAATTCTTTGCTGCCATCTAGTAGTAATCCATATTGTTTTAGTTCAGATGGAGTAAACTTAATTATTGATAACTTAGTTTCTTTACTTTCAGAGGAATTATTTTATCTAGAACAGAACATTTATTTAATTTATTATAAATAGTTTCATTCACATTTGTAAAGTTCACACTTTCCAATTAATTAGAACATGATAATTATTTGGTTTTTGTATTTCATGACCTTTATAATTCAGAAATAGATTAATCTATAAAAATAGAATAGATACATTTATTGCAAAAAGGAAAGCAGAAATTAGAATAGTGTGTTCAAAAACCTTGCACTTATTTCATGTGATCTTTTAATGAAAATATTTACAAATCAATGTCAAAATGGAGTAGAATAAAATTGTATTTTCTAACATTTTAAATATTATAGCACAGATTTCTCCAAATGAATGGCTCAACCTCCAGAATTGTAGCTGTAGCTATTCTAGCTTGTGAATTCTATTTTTTTATATTCACACAGTTGTGAAGTCCTTATTATGCTACCATACAAATTGCACTTTCTCATGACTTTGTCTTTTTTACAAGTTACAAAAGGAACTCTTAGCCATTAAGCATCAACAGGAACTTCTTGAAAAAGAACAGAAACTTGAACAGCAGAGGCAAGAACAGGAATTAGAGAGACATCGCAGGGAGCAACGTCCACTAATCAAAAGCCGAGAAAGAAGCCGAGAAAGTAAGATCTGTTCAATCAGGCTAAAAGAGGACATTTAAGTTTTGTACACCTCTCCCACCAATCTTCATTATCCTGCTTTATAAAAATATGGCCTGAAAATAAAATTCTATACAGATTGCATATATAATTCTCTAAAAATATATAATAATCCTCTTTAAGTTGTATTTTATTGTATGTGCACATAAATACGCAAGTATACTCTGCACAGATTAGAGAGGACATGAAATATTTATTCTATTGTTTCAGTTCCATAATTTGGATCTTTTGGCTTTTAATAATGTTTTTTAAATAATGTTTCTGTGGTTTTAAGGCAAATAAAATCTAAAAGAAAGACATTATTGGAATATGATACTCACTAGGGGGAGATAGATGCATATAAGTCTGCTCACAAAGGGAATGGAAGTAAAGGCCAAATATTTCAGTATTTCACAATGCTACTTATAGAAGGAAACAAATTATAACATCAAATGCCTTCAGTTTCCCTCTGGAATTTCTCCTTGATAATGTATTGTGTGCCAATATTGAGAAAAATTGATAATTTTATTGCATTCTTTCGATATGCTTCTTTTAGAGGGCAATTGTATAAATTTAGCAGTAGCATAATATTGTGTTGGATTTTGAAAGAAGATTCTTCTTCTGTGCTACTTCACTTATAATAATAAAACACATCTTACAGAGTATGCCCTCTTTTGTTTATACTAAGCTTATAATAATGAATACTTCATACTTTTATTTGTTGTGACTGTAGTAGTATTAGTCAGCTTAATGCATGCTTATTGCTCTTTAATATAAAGAATTAGACTTTGAAAGTAATGATACATGAAACCATTCTTTGCTCTCTATTAGAAATTTGGTCCATAATCAGTACATTATATATAGCATTTTCACACAAATATTAGTTATGAACATTGCACAGTTCATCAGTTGCAAACTAAAAAATTTTAAAATCATACTTCTATAGGCATTACAGGAAAACTATATAAGAAAATAGTCTGGAGTTTCATTCTAGAGTAGTCAATCATCTTGCTCTAGAGTTTAAAGCAAGGGCAGGAAATATTTATGGTGGAGATATGTTTTTAAAAATATTTTTAGCTTCTCAGGGTGCTTCCAGTGATGCCATTTAAGGAAGGAGACTAAAATTTTGCATATATTTTACATGATGGGAATTGAGTGTGGAAATAGCTGCAGTTTGCCTCACAGATGGAAATAGGTTGTGATGAGGCCAAATATTGTCATCTGGCAATAGGTCGCCTCCTCTGATTTAAATAATCAAGAGATCAGTTATGGTTAAAAAGAAAAAGGCAATAGCTGCATAAAACAATTCCAGTTGGGACTGCTTCCTTTAATGCTAGAAAACATCTGCATTCATCACTGTTCAGATCACAAAACCAAGAGTGAACCCATATCTGATGTTGCTTATTTGTTAGATTTATATACTGTCTTCTTCAGGGGGGTTCAGGATGGAATACACAGTTCTTTTCTCTCAGTTTTTCCCCAACAACAACTGTGTAAGTGATGACTAAGACTGTCTGATCTAAAATCAGCCCTTGAGGTACCATGGTTGAAACCAGATTTAAATTTGGGATTCCTTAGTCTTAATCCATTTCCATTAAGTATTATATCACACTGGTTTTATTTTCCTTTATTGTATTACTTGGTTTCAATGAAGCTAAAAGATGCGCTATACAATTTTAATCTACTTTGTTCCTCTTGCCATTATTTTATTCCTTTTGTTCTGCCATAGTAATTGCTCATATTAATTACTCATAATTAGTTTTTTTAGATACTTATTTGGATTACAATCAAAACTAGAAAGCTGCAGTGGAATGCTTGGGCACATATGAATGGAATTATAAAAAAATGCTATATGTTTTAGGAGCAGTTGCCAGTCCTGAAGTGAAGCAGAAACTTCAAGAGTTCCTGCTAAGTAAATCAGTAGCAAAAGACTCGCTCTCTAATGGAAAGAATCATTCCACTAGCCGGCGCCCCAAGCTCTGGCACACGTATGTTTATCCTTTTGCATCTTATTGGTATCTAATAAAAAGACTATTCTTCATCAGGAATAAAGTGAATTTTATCATATACTATTCAGTATAAAAGAGGGAGGAGGTACTGCATCTCCCTTGCTTTTCCCTTCTATGCCACATAAACCAGCCTCTCTTTTTTAATTAAATTCAGATGTGTCCTATGAATACAGTACTTTTGATATATAAGTCAACTACCAGTCCCATTAGTTTCCTTTAATTCTCTTGAATTAAGATGGAATAATTATGTTCTATCAATACAGTGGCATTTTTTGTTTAAATGAAAATTATTTTGTATGTTTTTAAGGAAAACTTTCATGATGATATTAATAATGATGATGATGATTGTAGTCAATGTACAGGGGCTAATAGTTTAGCAAGTATTATCATAAATTGTCTGTTCATAGAAGGAGTAATATGTGGGGCAAGAACCAATCTCAAAACACCCCAAAGCAAAAGGCTGCCATTCCCTCTAGAGGGTATTACTCCTGCTGCTAAAATTTAAAAGGGTTTTAGATATCTACTCTTTTCATGCAAGCTTTGATTTTAAAAAGTCAAAACAATAAAATTAAAATCAAGTAGCAGGAACTCCCTTTTTCCAGAAGACATAGCTCCAGACCTATATCTCCTGAATTATTGAAAGATGCAAGTGTTAGATCTCTGGACATTTTGAGGATATGATGCAGCAAAATCTAATCTAATTCATAAGTAATACTAATCAATAATAACTACTTTTCTATAGGGCTGCCCATCATACCTCATTGGATCAAGCTTCTCCTCCCCTTTGTGGGACATCTCCTTCATATAAATACACATTGCCAGGGGCAAAAGATGTCAAAGATGACTTTCCACTCCGCAAAACTGGTGAGCATATTAAAATGATTTTAAATGCCAATTTAATTCTATAACCAAATGAATTTTCATCTAATCATAATATATTAATATGTAATATTTGATTTGGGTTTAGCTAAAACATAATTATATATGATAAATGGGAATCTTGTTTTCCAAGATTACATGGGTGGACGATGTTATGATGATGAGAATGAGGAGGAGGAGGAGGAGGATAGTGTTGATGGAGGAGGAGGAGGATGGTGATGATATTTTATCCAACTTTTTAAATAGATATTTTGGTCAGGTCAAGGCAACAAAGAAGCCTCCTAATTTTTCCCACAACAATAACCCTATGAAGTCAGATGGACTGAGAAAGTATGAATGGCACAAAGTTATCCAATTGGCTTTCATGCCTAAGAGGTCTAGAATTCTTGTCCATTACTACCTCTCATTCTGCATTATTCTTTTGCAAATACTATAGCCAATGATTGATTGAATTACAGTTGAAACATCTTGGTGTTTAAGACTTTAAAGGGGCTTTGCAATAGAGTAGCTGGATGGGTCTAAATAATTCAATGTGTTATGTTAAAAAAACCTACTAAATTTTAAATTAATAGTTTCAAGCATAGATTAAACCATAGAAAGCATGAGGCCCCTATATGCTTCAAAATAATGAAAGAAATGCTTTGAACAGCACATCTCTGCTATTAATTAAAGCAATGTTTCAGCATAAACTTGAAAAAAGTATGTTTTGGTTTTCAGAAGTCAGCTCATTAAAGCAATTCCTAAAGTATGGGGGTCTTTTTTCAAGCTGATGTGTAAGTCTGAAAAAGGAAGTGGCTGCTTTAATGAAAAGCAGAGAAGTGCCATTCTTTCATAAGTGCAAGGTCCAAAGGATTTAAAAATTATTTCTGAAAGAAATGTCATGTTCATGGATATTTCAATTTTCTAAAGAATATTTTTCTAGTAGATTTATAAACTGTTCAGTTAATAAGTGTAATATCCAAATTAAATAGCTGTTTTGAAATTCTATTTCAAACTCTGTTTTTAACAATATTGTATATATACAAAAATATAAAGAATTAAAAAGATTTCCTAAAAGCTATTTTTTATTATCTTTTCCCTTATTTCAATATAGTGATCCTTAGATATGTGTGTATGTGTGCGTATGTGTTTGTGTGTGTTTGTGTGTGTTTGTGTGTGTGTGTGTGTGTGTGTGTGTGTATGATTTGCTTTCCCATTTTAAAAAAGCTCCTTTGAAAGGCATTATCAATATTTAAGAGGTATAACAGTGTTGATTGGTAAAGTTAAACATTTTCAAATATTTTAACAGTATTGTTCTGTGTTGCAGCTGTTAATACTCTTACAGCTCCATGGGGGTTTCAAAATATTTTTTAATTCAATTCTCATTGTCTATATATGAGCTACAGCATAATTAAAAACAGATGTTTTCTATACATTATTCCAAATATTTGGGCACACCACACGTTAGCTGCAGAGAGACTACACAACTATAGATTCCTTTTAAAAACCCAGGGGTAAGAGAAAAGAAGAATGAACTCATTTCATTTCTTTTTTTAAAATCTGTAATCAATGCAGTTGTGTGCAGAATGTTAGCCTAGTAACTACTTTTTAAAGAAAATAATGTTTTTTCCATCACAGTTTTATCATTTGGTTGCCATTTTACATAGATTTTGTTTAAATAATACGCACTAATACCTAATTGGAGAGGTATTTCAGCCCTCAGCAACATATTCACATTCAGCTTCTAATAAGTACTTGACAGTTTTAGAGGAAAAACAACCGGAACTGGGATGACACAAATGAAATGACCCTAAACTGATCAGGATGGCTACAGGGCATCCCTTAGGCAAAGGGGACATTCTGGAGCCTACTGCATCCTCATGGGACCATTCCTGACAAAGCTATTCCATGAAACATTCACAGAGTAAGGGAGAAAGAGAGAAGCAGGTTCTTTTTTGGCAAATGTTTGACCTTTGTCACAAGAGTGAATTTTTTCCTCTTTATCCTTTTCTTTGAGTTATGAATGGTGAGTGTCAACTTGTTTTGGATTTAACCAATCAGTGTAGGCTTTTCAACTAATATTGAAGAGGTTGCTTCATCAGCATTGGGCTTTGTTTTGTCTGAGAAAACAAGGAATCTCTGTTCTTATCTCTAACTATGTATCTCAAATTACATGTTTACGAATTCAAAACAGAATATATGAGTTGAAATGTCTATTATTTAAAAAGTTTGGTTATTGATTCTCTTCCTTGTTTTGTACAATTGCCAATTGAAACCAAGAAGGAAGAATTGATGGTTTGCAAATGTTGCCTGCATTTGAATTGTTTGTACAGATAGAAAAAAAAGTTCTACTATAGAACTGAATTGAAAGATAGGGAATCAGCTTGGGGAAATAAGTAATCTCCAGACTATTTCTAAATAAACTGAAGCTTAGTTGTAACAAATAGATTCTATGAATACAAGAAAAATCAATAGGTACCAGGTAAATCCATATTTGAAGGTAATGAGAGCAGACAGTAGTGAGATTGCAGAATATATTAAGGTGTAGAGCAGGGCTGTCAAACTGGCGGCCTGTGAGCTGGATGCATTATGTGCAGGCCACGCCCATCCCAGCTCCACACAGGCAAAAAACATTATGATACATCATGATACGTCACATGATGCAATCAAGTTTGACACCCGTGATGTTGAGGAGAAGGGATGAATCACTGGACAAAACAAGTTGATGAAATTCAAATTATCCCAATATGACATCAGATTTTTCAAAAATCCTTTTTTCAAAATTTCAATATTGCATCAAAGCCAGCTTTCAGCTGTAAAATAGTATGTGAGTTCTGCTGCTTTATCATTTATAAAAGTTCACTTATTGAACTTTTATAAATTGATTACTGATTACACTAGTCTGCATGGAGAAAGTCTCAGAAATGAAAGTAGCTTAATTTTACCAGAATTAGGTCACTAATAAAAAGAAAATTAAGTTCTGAATATTAATTGGCTCCAGTTTCTAACATATAGTTTCAGGTCAAAATTGCATCAAAATAATTCAAAATTATGAGGGGGATGTGTGATTATAATCCGTAACTTTTCTGCAAAATGTGATACAGCAATGAGAATGGTGCCACACCAAATCATTATAAATTTATCTTTTTATTAATACCAATAACATAACTTTCCATTCATTTATTGGTTTTTCATGTAACATTTTCATGCTTTTTGCATGAAAAACTGACAAGCTTTAACATCAGATTACAAGGTTCCACTCTTGTAATCTGGAGCCCAGTAGCTCTGCCTTACTCTTGGATGCAAAATAGTGGATCAGGACTAGAGTTTGGCCCCTCATTATTTGTTGCATTAAATGTGTAACTTATCTGCGTCATTGGCTAAACAAGAAGAAAAAGTCCATGCCTTTTGCAATTCCAATGGTGTGCAGGGAACCCACCAATCATAGTAGTGATTGTTCTTTTCACATGGTTCTGTCAATTGCAAAAGGGATCTCAAGAAAGAAATAGTGGACCATGGAATATCCAAACATTCCATCCCCACTGCATCCTGGACCCCTTGGTGAGGACTTGCCAATTCTAGATTCACCAGAATCCTACTCTCTAGATTTAGATGATCATAAAGATAAGAATGCACCTGATCCGGGGCTGTTGATGTCAGGGAAACCAAACTTTAGTCCCCTGTATGCCAGAGACTGACCACCATCATCTCATGCAAGCTGCTGTTGCTAGAGATTGACCACCATCATCTCATGAAAGCTGACCACCATCACCTCATGCAAGCTGCTGTGGTGGTCAGAGACTGACCACCATCATCTAATGTGAACTGCTGTTCCCAAAGATTAACTACCATCTCACACAAGCTGCTATTGCTAGAAACTGACCATTATCATCTCACACAAGCTGCTGTTGCTAGAGATTGACCACCATCATCTCATGAAATCACTCGGATTCGGACAGACCTAGACTCCGATTGGGCAGGGCCTTTCGAGATGACTGGGGCAGGTCTTAGCTCAGTTTTATGGGATGAATTTGAGTCTGTGACTGCTGAGGATGTTGACAGAGCGGTGGGAGCAATGAGCGCCTCCACTTGTTTATTGGACCTGTGTCCTTCCTGGTTGGTCTCGGCTGCCAAGGAGGTGACACGAAGCTGGCTCCAGGTGTTGATCAACGCTTCGTTGAGGGAGGGGTCTTTTCCACAATCCCTGAAGGAGGCGGTTGTGAGGCCCCTGCTCAAGAAGCCTATCCTGGACCCGGCTGATTTAAATAACTTCCGTCCAGTCTCCAATCTCCCCTTTGTGGGGAAGGTTGTAGAGAGAGTGGTGGCGCTCCAGCTCCGATGGTCTCTGGATGAAGCGGATTATCTAGACCCTTTTCAATCTGGCTTCAGGCCCGGCTTCAGCACAGAAACCGCTTTGGTCACGCTGATGGATGATCTCTGGCGGGCCCGAGACAGATGTTATTCCTCTGTCTTGGTGCTACTTGACCTCTCAGCGGCCTTCGATACCATCGATCATGGTATCCTTTTGTGATGACTCGAAGGGGTGGGAGTGGGAGGCACCGTTTTATGGTGGTTCTCCTCCTACCTCTCTGGCAGGTCACAATCAGTATTGGTGGGAGGGCAGAGGTCAACCCCGAGGCCCCTTGAATGCGGCGTGCCACAGGAGCCGGTCTTTTCTCCCCTCCTATTTAACATTTATATGAAGCCGCTGGGTGAGATCATCAGACAGCACGGGGTGAGGTTTCATCAGTATGCTGATGATACCCAGTTATATATCTCCTCCCCGAGCTCTCTCAGTGAAGCGGCCGATGTGATGGGCCGTTGCCTCGAAGCCGTGAGGGTCTGGATGGGGGTTAACAGACTCAGGCTCAATCCTGACAAGACCGAGTGGCTTTGGATGTTGCCTCCCAAGGATCATGTCGACTGTCCAGTGTTGACTCTTGCGGGGGAAAATATACCCCCTTCAGAGCGGGTTCGCAACTTGGGTGTCCTCCTTGATCCACAGC